TCTGTCTCAAAAATAAACATTAAAAAAAAATTAAAAAAGAAAAAGAAAATCAGACAGTCCCAAATCTACTACCTGTAATTCTACTCCAAGATTTATATTGTGGAACTGCCTTTCGAAACTGAATCGGGTTCCCCAGGCCTGGGGAGGAGCCCGGGCGTGGGATTTCTAACAAGGTCCCATTTGTTGTCCATTTTGCTGGGCTGCAGCCTGCACTTTACCAGCCGAGTGGCAGGGGACACTCTTCCGCGTGAGAAGCAGGAAGGACACCTGGACAAAAGTGATCCCGGCAGTTCCGTCCGAGCAGCAGCCAAGGTGGGGACGGTTCCGCATCCCTAAGCAACAGAGGGGCGGACTCAGTGACACCCTGCAGAAACCTGGGAACTGCCCTGTTTTCAGGGGAGACGTGTTGAGGCGCAAGGGGTGAGATGTCGCGATATCTAAAAGTCTCTCTCAGGTGGTTCAGCAAAAAACAGACAAACAAAAAAAGTGCGCACGAGCATCTGTGAACACGCACGCGCATACAGACAGCCAACAGGGCAACCTGCGTACCTGACTTTATGCGACCATGTGTTCATATACAGACAGCAAATAAAGCAAAATACTAGCAAATCTGCAAATCTTTACGTTTCCATGGGTATTTGTTTTATTATTACTATACATTCACCGCAGGTCTGAAAATGCTTCAAATATACACTTAACGGGGTAAAAAAGGAAGACCGAAAGAATGATCGACAGAACATTCAAGATGGCGGGGCGCCTGGGTGGCCCAGTCGGTTGAGCATTCAACTGTTGGTTTTGGCTCAGGTCACGGTCTCAGGGTTCGTGGGTTTGAGCCCCGAGTCAGGCTCTCAGCTGACAGTGTGGAATCTGCTTGGGATTCTCTCTCTCTCTCTCTCTCTCTGCCCCACCCCCACTCGAGGGCATGCTCTCTCTCAAAATAAATAAACTTAAAAAGAATGTCAAGATGGTGATTAACCCCAGAAGGAAGCAGGGCAATGGGGTCAGGCAGGGATGGGCGGAGGGTCTCTAACCAACAGCAGTGTCTGATTCTTTAACCTGAGGACCTATTTATTACATTATTTTTAAAATTCTGGGGAGCCTGGGTGGCTCGGTTAAGTGTCCGACTTCGGCTCAGGTCATGATCTCGCGGTCTATGAGTTCGAGCCCCGCGTCGGACTCTGTGCTGACAGCTTAGAGCCTGGAGCCTGCTTCAGATTCTGTGTCTCCCTCTCTCTCTGCCTCTCCCCAACTCATGCTCTCTCTCTCAAAAATAAATAAAACTTGAAAAAAAATTTTTTAAAAATCTATTTGTGGGGTATCTGGCTGGCTCAGTCGGTAGAGCGTGCAACTCTTGATCTGAGTCCCAAGCTCAAGTCCCCTGTTGGGCATGGAGGCTACAACTAAAATAAAATAATTAAAATAAAGTAAAATAAAACTAAAAAAAAAAATAGAATAATTCTACTTGTTAAGTTTTATGTACTCTTGTCTTTATGAAATTTTTCATAAACTTAATTCATATGTTAAAGCTTAATTTTATTTATTCCGCCATGTAATCTTACAGCCAATTCATCCTGGCTTTTATTTTATTTTTATTTACTTTTGAAAAGATTTTAAGCAATCTCTATCCCCAACGTGGGGCTCGAACCCACAATCCTGAGATCAAGAGTCCCACACTCTGCTGACTGAGTCAGGCAGGTACCTCTCATTCTTGGCTTTAAAAAGCTTAGTAGTACAGGGGCTCACGGCTGGCTGTTTGCAAAGCGCGCGACTCTTGGTCCCAGGGTTGCGAGTTCGAGCCCCGTGTTGGGTGCAGAGGTTGACTTAAAAATAAAACCTTTAAATAGCGAGAGAGGAGGAAGAAAAGCTTAGTACAAAATAACTTTCTAATTTTTTTTTTAGATGTTTATTTATCTTTGAGAGCGAGCGAGAGAGAGACAGACACAGAATCCGAAGCAGGCTCCAGGCTCTGAGCTGTCAGCACGGGCCCGATGCGGGGCTCAAACTCACGAACCGAATTCCCACATCTTCTTAAATATACTGCTTCCGTTTAAGAAAGAGGCAACCGTACTACGTTGGTCTCAAAAATGTCACCGGTTTAGGTGGGTTCCCCTTGTATCCACTACTCTGGGGTTTACGCGAACCCAGGTTTTCACAAAACAGAACTGTGACCCTCAAATAATATAAAGTCATTAGGTGCTTGGGGCAAACAGGAGATTTTTAGGCAACCCTGCCATTGTGAATGAACCGCCTCCCAGCCATTCGTCCCGTCCCCCCGAGTTGCAATCAGACAAGAATGAAACCAGCAGCAAAGACAAAAGGACTTTTGTGCCTCCCCCCCCCCCCCCCCCCATCCTCAACTGTTTTCTAACTCACTGATAAACTTTATCCCCTAAAACTCGTAGCCCACTTGACATCCTATCATATCGGTAAGAAGAGAACATTCCACTCTTGCCTGGGGGATCTTGAGTCACTGGGACAGAGAAGCGGCCTCGCCTCCGATCTGCAACCTGGGGCAGGACTCCTGATAAGGGGTTTGGGACACAACATTCCCCATCTATCTTGACCTTGTAGTTTCCAAGGGAACGTCCAGACCAGATAACTCCTTTACACTGGGCTCAGTTTGAGCCTATCTAAGCCCGGGTCCATTTACATACACCTACCCTGAATTACTACCCCCCCCCCCCCCCCCCCCCCCCACCTTGGGATCCTATAATAACGCCAACCCTTCCTTCCGCAGGTTCCTCTCAGGTGCGATCGATCTCTCTCCTTGCAACAAACCATTACAACGGGGGCTCCAGGTGAGTCCCTGGCGATCTCAGACACATTATAATGTTTGGGACAGTGGGAGGAAAGAAACGAACAAAGAGAATGTGTAATTTGGGGTCGTCTCGGGGGAAGCAGGTGGGAAAGAAAACCCCCGCGTCTGGCAGCTAGAGCGCATCCCCCCTCCCTGTGCGCTGAGCTTCCCGTGAACCAGACCTTCCTGGAGGAGACTAAGGACAGGCAATTTGTTCAGACCATGGGGTTCCATGCTGTCTTCACTTGAACTCCTTTCAACGTGTTCTTTTAGAAACGCTCTCTACGGAGGTCTCAGTCCCCCCCCCCCCCCGCCCAAGAAAGAAAGTGCTCACTGGACCAAACCCAGACCCCGAAATCCTTTCTCTAGGAGAGGAGAACCCGATGGCCACCCTCTCCATGTGAACGTGCCCAGAATTTTCCTAATCGCTGAGGGACTCCAACACTTAATGGGTCTGAACAGCCCCCCTCCCCCGCTCCTGCCCTCCCCCCCCCCCCACGCTGCACGCAGGTATCCCCCTGCCCACTCCAGGGACCACAGCGTGGAGGGACCGCCCCTTCACCCGGCGGCTTTTAGGGCTCAGCACGTGGGCCACTCTCCGCCTCCCCTCTCCTCCAGGGCGGAGGCAATCAGGCTTCCGCAGACAGCTGCCCCCGACTCCCCGGAATCCGACCCGGTCCCGCCCGCGGTGTGGATCGTGCGACAAGCCGGCACACTCACCATGCCTGCCGCACCAGCTTCTGGACGCGTCGGTGGGTGGCGCAGCCCAAGAGCTCATTCCCCGCACCGGATAGAGGGTTGCAGGGCTGCAGACGAGAGGGGTGGGATTGCAAAAAGTACAATTAAATAAACAAATAAAATAAAAAACCACGCCCTCACCGCCCCCTCCCCCCCCCCCCCAACAGGGATCGACGACAGAGATTCATCCTGCGCGGGCCTTTTGTATCTGCTTCCGGACCCCGGCTCCTCAAAATGGACGGTTTAAGGGGTGGGAGCAGGGGAAGGAGGAGCCAGCAGGAAGGGGATCCCGGGACTTGCCCCCCCCAGCCCCACCCTGGGACCCCACCCCCCCACCCCCTGCACCCAGGGTCTCCCCAGCCACTTCTGCTCCTTAGAGGCGTCCAGAAAGAGAGGCGCTTCCCAAGGAAAGGAAGACTTTTTTCTGCCCTGGAAGAGGACACGGTCGGGAGGAGGGGTCCTCAGTTTCCCTCTCAGGCCGCCCCCTTCTTTTCCTTCCGCTGCCTTCCTCACCCCGCGAGCGCTGACCAGCCTGTGACCTGCGAGGTCTGCGCCAACAGTTGTAACAAGATACGGTGCTGACCGTTACTGGGATTGAACCGGCGACCCTCCCGCGAGGAACCAGAAAGTCCTCCGATCCCCAATTCCAGGGAAAGAGAACAGCTGCCTGAATCCAGCCGGCGAGGACGCGGCCCCCGCTCCCCGCGACCCTGTTAAAAACAACAACAACAACAACAACAACAACAAATCACCTACATCTGTTTAAACTGGAGGGTCACCTGACCTGCAGGTGCCGGCGAAGAGCGTCCGCGGAATAACTTCAACCCCGACTGGGGATTTCTTTTGGAAGGTCCCCAGCCAGGCCTGATTAACATTCCGCCCCCCCCAACCCCGCCCCGTTCCCGCCCCCTCCCCGTCCCACCTCCACCCCTGCTCCACCCCTCCTCCCCTCCTCCCCTCCCCCAAAGACGGAGGCCAGCCCAGCCAGTTCCCCGGCTCTCTAGGAAAGGGCAGGGAACCTCTAAAAGTCAAGTCAATTAACCTTTTATGAAATGTCTCCTCTCTAGGAATGCAATTCTACCCTAAAGCTTACGTTGCCTATTATTACTCTGTACCTAAACTCGTCTTTTAAAGTAATCTCTACACCCAATGTGGGACTTGAACTCACAACCCCAAGATCAAGAGTCGCGTGCTCCACGGACTGAGCCAACCGGGCGCCCCATGAAGTCTTTTTTCCAACACAAGTTTAGGGGCACCCAGCTGTCTCAGTCAGTGGAGCATTGGACTCTTGATCTCAGGGTTGTGAGTTCGAGACCCACATTGGGTGTAGAGATTACTTTAAAAAAAAACAACACTGGGGCGCCTGGGTGGCGCAGTCGGTTAAGCGTCCGACTTCAGCCGGGTCACGATCTTGCGGTCCGTGAGTTCGAGCCCCAGGTCGGGCTCTGGGCTGATGGCTCAGAGCCTGGAGCCTGTTTCCGATTCTGTGTCTCCCTCTCTCTCTGCCCCTCCCCCGTTCATGCTCTGTCTCTCTCTGTCCCAAAAATAAGTAAACGTTGAAAAAAAAATTAAAAAACAAACAAACAAACAAACAAACAAAAAAAACACTTCTGGGCGCCCGGGGGGCTCAGGTAGTTAAGCTAAGCGGTCGACTTTGACTCAGGTCATGATCTCCCCGTTCCTGAGTTCGAGCCCCGCCTTCGGCTCTGCGCTGACAGCTCGGAGCCTGGAGCCTGCTTCCGATTCTGTGTCTCCCTCTCTCTGCCCCTCCCCTGCTTGTGCTCCGTCTCTCTCTCTCTCTCAAATAACCCTTAAAATTTTTTAAAAATATATTTTAAAAAGACTATTATTATTATTAAGGCAGTATTAGGTTTACAACAAAACTGAGGTACAGAGATTTCCCATACGCCCCCTGTCCCCAAACATGCAGTTTCCTCCCGTATCAACATTAAGCACCAGAATGCTACTTTTTTTCACTTAAATTTTAAGTAATTTATTTTTAATTAATTATTAATTATTTTAATTAATTTATTGTTCACGCTGGGCGTGAAGCCCAATGCGGGGTTCCAACTCACCACCATGAGATCAAGACCTGAGCTGTGATCAACAGTCAGCTGCTTAACTCACTGAGCCACCCGTGTGCCCCGTACTTTTTTTTTTTTTTAAACTAGAGACGAACCTACATTGAATACAGGGTAATCACCAAAGTGATTACACAGTTTACCTTTGGGTTCACTCTTGGTGTTGTATATTCTTTTTTTTTTTTTTTTTTAATTTTTTTTCAACGTTTATTTATTTTTGGGACAGAGAGAGACAGAGCATGAACGGGGGAGGGGCAGAGAGAGAGGGAGACACAGAATCGGAAACAGGCTCCAGGCTCCGAGCCATCAGCCCAGAGCCCGACGCGGGGCTCGAGCATCACGGACCGCGAGATCGTGACCTGGCTGAAGTCGGACGCTCAACCGACTGCGCCACCCAGGCGCCCCTCTTTTTTTTTTTTTTTTAAAGCTATTTTATTTATATTTTACTTAAGTCATCTCTACCCCCAACGTGGGGTTCGAAATCACAACCAAAGCAGTCACGTGCCCCTGATGTTGTATATTCTGTGGATTTGGACGAATGTATAACCACCCGTGTCCACTTTTATACAGTGTTTTCACTGCCCCCCAAATCCTCTGTGCTCTATGCATCTCCCTCCACCCCCACCTACACTGCGACAAAGTTTTTGTTGTGATAAAATATACAGCAACAGACATGTCCCCTTTAACCATCGTTAAGGGTACATTCACACTGTTGTGCAAACATCACCACCGTCCGTCTCCAGAACTTTTTCACCTTTCCAAGCTAAAATTCTGTATCCTGTCCACTGAGAGAAAACCGACCTCTGTTCACCACCGCCTGGGAGACAGTTTTCTCCGTTGCTCTGAAGACTGCTCCAGGGGCGCCTGGGGGGCTCTGTCCCTTAAGCGTCTGACTTCAGCTCAGGTCATGATCTCGCAGTTTGTGGGTTCAGGCCCCGCGTCGGGCTCTGTGCGGGCAGCTCAGAGCCTGGAGCCTGCTTCCGAGATTCTGTGTCTCTCTCGCTCTCTGCCCCTCCCCCGCTCGCTCGCTCGTGCACGTGCGCGCGCTCTCTCTTTCTTTCTCTCTCTCTCAAAAATAAATAACATTAAAAGAACTCCTCCAAAGCTTGTTAGCTGTTGGGGATCATATAAACAAAAGGGAGACGCGTATCCTTGTTTGCAACCAGTTCTCCAAATACTTGAGCGTCACAAGGTGTAATTTGTTTCCGGCGTAAAAATTACATCTCCACGTCTCCACGGAGACAGGAGAGAGACCCTCAAGTCACCTCAATACATTATGCATCTATCCTATCTGATTAAAAATATTGCTTGCGTGCCTCTGTTTAACCGGTTTTTCAGCTCTTCCTTTTTTTTTTTTAATTCTTAAAATAATTTTTTTTAATGTTTATTTCTTTTTGAGAGAGGGAGAGGGACAGAGCATGAGCAGGGAAGGGGCAGAGAAAGAGGGAGACACAGAATCGGAAGCAGGCGACACGGGGCTCGAACTCACGAACCCGAGAGATGGTGACCTGAGCCGAAGTCGGACGCTCAACCGACTGAGTCACCAGAGTGCCCCAGTTGTTTTTGATTCTTCCTTGAGGTCACTTGAGATGGTCACAGAAGGCTGACATCAGTCACTTGCCACAATTTGAGTGCTTGCTCCCTGCTTCCTTTTCCCTCCAGCCCTTAATAACGTCTATCTGCTTTCCCTCTCTACAACTGACAGTTCTAAGTGCTTCATAGAGGGGCACCTGGGTGGCTCAGTTGGTTAAGCATCTGATTCTTGCTTCTGGCTTGGGTCATGATCTCACAGTTCACGAGTTTGAGCCCTGCATCAGGCTCTGTGCTGATAGCTCATGAGCCTGCTTGGGATCCTCTCTCTCTCAAAATAAACAAAAATAAACTCTAAGTACCTCATAGAATTGGAAGCATATAATACGTGTCCTTTTGTGTCTGGCTTTTTTATTTGACATAATGTTTTCAGGGTCCACCCGTGTCATAGCCTGTGTCAATGCCTCATGCACTTTTTTTATGGGTGAATAATATTCTATTGTATGGATACATCACATTGGGTTATCCCTGCATCCATCTACGGACCGGTGGGTTGTCTTCAACTTTTGGCTATTGTGAATTATGCTGCTATAAACATGGGTGGAAAGGGGCACTGACAGCAGCCTGATGTGGGGCGTGAACCCATGAACCAGAAGATCATGACCTGAGGCCGAAGTCAGACATTTAATCGACTGGGCCACCCAGGCACACTCATTTTTATTTTTAAAAGATATTTTTACTGGGTATAGAATTCTAGATTGGCATTTTCTCCTTGGCACTTTGAAGACATCATTCCATAACTTTCTCTGTGGTCCGATCTTTCTATTGGAAATTCAGCTGTCATTATAATTTTTATTCTTTTAAAGGTAATATGCACTCCCCACCCCCTCCCCAATACTGCTAAGATTTTTTTTAAGGTTTTATCTTAAAAATTTTTTTTTAACATTTTATTTATTTTTGGGACAGAGAGAGACAGAGCATGAACGGGGGAGGGGCAGAGAGAGAGGGAGACACAGGATCGGAAACAAGCTCCAGGCTCTGAGCCATCAGCCCAGAGCCCGACGCGGGGCTCGAACTCACGGACCTCGAGATCGTGACCTGAGCTGAAGTCGGATGCTTAACCGACTGAGCCACCCAGGCGCCCCTAAGGTTTTATCTTTAAGTAATCTCTACACCCAACGTGGGGCTTGAACTCACAACCCCAAGATCAAGAGTCGAGCCCTCTACTGACTGAGCCAGCCAGGTGCCCTCTTTTTCCATTCTTTTTTGTATTTCCTTCTCTTATACTCCATTCGGGTTTGCTTCCCCTACCAACCTCCTGTTCTTTGTTATTTGCTTCAGCTGTGCATAATCTGAGATTATTCATAAAAACTCATAAAGAATTAATTATAAAAGTGCTTTTCATCTCATGCTTCACCCCAGAGCTTCTCTGCTTCTGCAGGAAGTGATCTTGGAGGAGCCCACGTGGCCACTCACACTGGTATGTGTTCCAACCTGAAAGTGGGAAGGCATCACACTCTCTTGGCAGCCCCTGACTGAGGGCTGATGGGAACCAGCGAGAAAAAGGCCAGCCCCCTGCCCTCTGTCCCAACAGAATGTCCCTACATTCCTTGTAGTTCCTCAAAAGATACCCAGAGGCACCTGGGTGGCTCAGCCGGTTAAGTGACCTTTGCTCGGGTCATGATCTCACAGTTTGTGAATTTGAGCCCCGCATCTGGCTCTGTGCTCTCATCTCAGAACCCTCTTTGGATCCTCTGTCCCCCCCCTCTCTCTCTCTCTGCTGCTCCCCTGCTGTGCTGACAGCTCAGAGCCTGGAGTCTACTTTGGATTCTGTGTCTCCGTCTCTCTCTGTCTCCACCCACCCCCCACCCCCTGCTCGCGCTCTGTCTCTCTGTCTCAAAACTGAATAAACATTAAACAATTTTTTTTAAATAAACAAAACATTAAAAAAACCTCACAAAACTTCAGGGGACCCAGTCACAGGGTTACACACATGAATAATATTTACACACACACACACACACACACACACACACACACACACACACAGAATTCTTGTTACACCATTGCTTAAAGTGGGAACCAGAGCGATATTATTTATTGGGGCGCCTGGGT